CTCTCTCTCTCTTCTCACTCTCTCTTCTCTCTTCTTCTCTTCTCTCTCTCTCTCTTTTCTCTCTCTCTTCTTTTTCTTTTTCCTTTTCTCTTTCTTTTCTCTTGTCTGGTGTTGTTGTTGCGACAGCCCCCTTTAAACCCTCCCACTACCCCCTACTCCATATCTTCTCCCTTACGCCTCCCTCTCTCCGACCTCAACTCACCCTTACATAACGTTCTCCCCTCCTCGGGTGTGCCCTCTCTCATCTCACTCTAATGGCTGTTGACGGTGCGTCCTTGGCCCACGTAACCTCTCGCCTCCGCAACTCTCTCGCCTCGGTCTTTACATCACTCCCTTTCTAATTCATCTTCTCTTCTCTGGGTCATTTTACGTCTACTTCTACCTCATTCTACTCTATACTTTACCCTTGCTCTCTCTTCCTCTTACTCTCCTCTCTAGGCATGCCAATTCTAACTCTTTAGCTCTTACTCACTGGCTACGTGATATTTCCCCCCTCGTCCCCCCCTGTCTAGTATTCTTTTTCTGCTCGCTCTCATGCTTACTTCTTCCCTCTTGGTTCATCAACCGTTCTCTCCTCTCTCTCTCCCTCTCTCTGTCTCCGTCTTGTCTCTCTCTGTCTTCTCATCTCTGTCTCTTCTCTTGTCTCTCCTCCCTCTCTCTCTCTCTCTCTCTCTCTGCGATTCTCCTCGTTCTCTTCTCTTCTCTCTCTCTCCTCTCTCTCTCTCTCTCCTCTCTCTCCTCTCTCTCCTCTCTCTCACTGCTCCGCCCCTCTCTCGCCCCTCTGCCCTCTGTTATTCTCCTTACTTTCTCCTCTTTCGTCAACCCGTGCTCTGTCTCTCATACTTGCTCTCTCTCAATCTTCTACTCTCTCATCTCTCATCCTCTCTCTCTTCTCTTCTCCTCCTCTCTCTCTCTCTCTCTCTCCTCTCTCCCTCTCTCCCTCTCTCTCCCTTCGCGTGCCTCCATCCTCTCCCTCATCTCTCACCGTACTCTCTCCCTCTCTCCTACTCTTCCTGGTCTCTCTCTCCCTCCTCTCGTCTCTTCCTCTCTCTAGCGTACTGCCCGGGTACTCTCGTCCTGCGCTCCGTCCGTGGCTCCACTTGCCCGATGTCTGAATCTCAAGCTCCCTGACTATCATGCCGTCCACACTGGCGCGTGTGCATGTCCCTGGCCATCTTTTTCTTTCTTTCTGGGGGTCGTTCTCATATGTCTCTGACCTCCCGTCTCTAAAATGGGTCTCAAGAACCTCGCTCGTCTCAGTCTAAAACTCATATCTTTTCATACCACTAACCGTACCCCTCTCGCCTAGCTGGGGCCCTGCGCAATGAGCACAAAAATCCAACCTCAAGAATATAGGTGCTGGACATTGGGCGTGACGTGTCTCAGTTTATCATCTTTGACCACACACATCCTTGCCGGAACCCTCGCAGTAACTTCGATCCCACGCGTCCCATATCGGCCACAGTGTTCTGGCACATCTACCAGGAAGTATCTGGAAAGGTCAGCTGGATATATAGAGTTATCTATCAGCCACATTCACTTCTGTAAAAGTCTTGACTTGACAAGCTGTGCATACTTGGGTCATGCAAAGTTAAAACAGACAGGTATTCACAGCTAAAGAAAATACTCCATTGTATAGACGAATAGCTCGGAATTATAAACATATATCTTATGTGGCTTACAAATCTGTAATAGCATGCCTACCCTCTTCTCCCCTTGCTCGTCTCGTTCCGTATTCTTCAATTTATAATGTCTATGTCTCTCTTCACTAATGTTTGTTGTCAATTAGGCTGCCATTGCCAATGTTGCAGCAATGAACCATATGAAGAAAAACAATATTGAAACAAGTCTATACATTTTACACAAGTAATAAGACAAGAAAATATATTTGTAAAATAAATCTAGCCCTCTTACTAAGAATCCAAATAGTTAGAAGATAGGAATAATTTAGCCATTCTTTCACAGGCAGTGGTTTTCTATGTGTGCCAAACTAAGCTAAATTCCTTGATACAAGAGTGAGTAATTACATGCGAAGAAGGAATCATTGATCAGATGAGTACAGGATGGTGATGCGACTATTCTTGATTAACAGGATCCTACAGGTTATCTACTTATATTCTTCATTAAGTGCAATCAAAAAAGAACAAAGTGATACCTCCAAAATTCTGATTTTTGCTGTAGACTTTCCTCCTCCGCATTCCTTCAAATTTCTTCATAGAGGACACCAAGGGTCAAGATAAATATACTGTATATGGACATTTGGATACATATTCCTAAGATTATGATGATGATTGTGGGATATTATAAGTAACAAACATACTAAATCATGTAATATTGAATAGTAATAAAATTACAAGAGCAGAGAGAAAGACATGCCATATAATACCCCATATAAACATTTGTAAAGGTTATATTACCTCTCGACCGACTAGGAGGCGTCGAGAATAAATGTTTTAAAATCTATTGCCAGGTGAAGGTTGGAAAATAGCTCTAACACATGTTTGAGTTTGCACAATTTCCTTACTCTGCAAGTTTTTAAAGGCGTGAGTCATCACAGTATGAGCCCACTGTGTGTAAGGAGGTACCATTTTGTGCAGTTCTAGTCTAGCTAGACAATCTCTTGACTTGCTTTTTTTACTTACTCTCCTCGCTTTCATGTATTATGGTGCCAGGTAGTATATAGGTATATTAATATATACATTCTCGGATATATTTTTATATCTCTCGTCTCTTTTTCTTTTCACAAGAATTTCGATCATAGAATCGTTTGTATAACGACAGAAACGGTGCTCCGATCATTACCACCAGCTGCACTTTGTACATGACTCATCAAGTTGTATTTGGTCGTGTGGATAGAGGTCTACGCCAGGACTCCACCAGGTAATGTGTTTTGCCTAGTTTTTCTCGTGGGAGTATAGCAAGTCATAGATATTCATGAGAAGAATATATTCAAAGAACAAGGGTATAAGTCTTGAGATTGTGATTGTGATGAAAGAATATAATATAGCTTATTATTTTTGTAGGCTTTGGTGAAATTCTTGGGCAAGGTCATGACAAGCTCAGCATGCGCAAAAGTTATCTCTGGAAGGGCCCCCTATTTATACATCTACACTTCTTTTTCCATCAGGACCTTGTATATATTCTTTTGTCTATAAGTCCTTGAGATTTTGGATTTATTCTGGTCATCAGAGAAATGGGCGTTGAGACATCATTGGTGGCAAGGGCATTGTTTACTTCTGTCAGAAGGAGGAGTAATTAAGGTTGTGGTGCAGAAGTTAGAATCTATTTTGCTGGTCTATTTGTATTACCAATAATACATATAAAAAGGTAAACTGAAAGAGAAAAAAATTGATTATTTTTCATACATATGTGGTATGAATCAGGGTCCACGTCTTGGACTATTATGTGTTAGAATTTTGAGATGAGATCCTAATATTTCCTAACATTATATTCGTTACTGACTATGAGATTTATGATTAATAGAATATACATGACATACATGAAATACATACATACATTACAATTAAACAACATACGATTACAACATACAATAGTTACATACATACATACATAACATACATACAATACAGATATCTAAACATATACCAAATATACGGATAGCAGAAAGTATATATTATAATAGTATTATAGTAAATAGTAAAATAATATATTAATTAGACGAGAACATATACTAATAGTACTCAATTTTAATATATAATATATTAATGACACCACCACACACACATATTATAATAACATAAAGTATATTAATTAACTACCTGTAGTTTAGAGTAGATAGATATAAAAATAAATCTCCCCTTAAAGTAGCTCAGTACTTCACTCAATATTAGTAGCTAGGCCTATATTAGTCAAACTATATAATATTAATTTATCACTATATATTCTATATACATGAAGTGATAAATTGGCACTGACATGATATTGATTAATAGCTGTATTTAGCTACCCTAGAGTCAAGCACATAACCGTGGAGTATATGATTCTTCAATTTGATAGCTAAAATTGATATGCCCTAACATCTGACAGATATTTATTAAACTACTATAGGGTAAATAGTAAATAATAGCTGGTGTGTAGTGCTCCTGGTGTTGATAAAAGTGAGTTGTGATGTCAGTTGATATACACTTATATGGTAGTAAATTTTATTATATGTGTTAGTATATTTCAATAATTTGGTCATATTTATTTTTTGTATTCTTTTAATGATGTATACAGGGTTAACATGAAGTTTAGAGAGGTGTGTCTTCGGAAAAGATAGATAACTTTATTACACATCTATGGATGTATACCAAGAAATAATATCTAATATAAGGATATGAGGTGCAAGTTGAACCACTTATTCATTTTTTTTATCTTTTCCCGCTAGTTTCTTATCTCTTACTCTTTTATGCATACCCAAAATAACAACGTTATATCGCTTAGATTTACTGTTTATAGAATTTGTTATTGAGCGCAAGAAACTAACTTTGCTAGATTCTCACTAACTTTAATATACGAGGAATCTTATCATATATTATGATGTTTTGGAGACAATATCTAATTAATAGCAGCTAATTCATGCGAATTATATTGCAATTATGAACTTGAGTGATATTTAAAAAAAGAGCGTGGGGGTGTAGCAATTATGAAGCACAATTAGATGTTTGTAGAAACTACTAGTTAATATAACGTTAAGTATGATAGATATTAGTGATAGTAGTTGAAAGATGATCATTTTCACAAAAACCTTTCCTCCTACATTCTTGTAATAGTGCATGATATCCATTCTATTCATCAGTCATTTATCATTACATAATCTCCCCAGTGACCAAAATATGCCTGCGAAAAGAGTTATCGCGGAGAAGATTAAGACAAATATTGTGACAATGTGCGTTGCGATACGTAATCAAGGATGGTTATACGGACATTTCACTGATTTAAAGCGAGAGATAATCTCTCCTGAGTTTGCCATTTCTTATTAGTCTATTTGGAAGCTAGTTTGTAGAGCAAGCATCAAAATGACAAATAACTACAGTAAGCTCTGTGGAGGTTTTGGTTGATATTCCTTTTAATTATATTATGTTTATTAATTCTTTTTAATAAATAGATGTGTTCTAGTTATTTTTTTTTTTTTTTCTTTTTTCTTGTTTTTTGTATATGTGATCTGAGTATAATCCTTTAGCTAAGGAGTTTATCCCATAGGAATGCTGTTCACCATCATGGCCACTTATCCTCCAAACCTGCAGTGAAAGAAAACCAAAGCAATTTCTCCACATCCAAAGATCCCAATCGGTCTCACCCATGTGATAGGGTATAACTGGTATATGTTAATATCCCACCTGCTTACTTTGTCACCCAGACATAGCCATAATGACCATTGTTACTGGCAACATGTACATCCAACACCCCCAAGCGCGTAAAGTAGCCGTTTGAACATTTGTAGACATTTTCAAATAAATTAACAGCAAAATAGCAATATTATTTCTTCTAATAAGCCTGCTTATAATTACTGGCACAGTCTGTAATTGCACCCTATTAATACTCACTTATTTCTTATCCGAATTATTGAATCACGTTGTGATATGACTAAACCAAACAGCATTCATACAGACTTTTATCAACAATTTTTAATGGAAAGTGAATTCTACAAAACTTACCTGTGTAGTGTATTGTAGGGCAACTGTCGCTCGATCCATTGTGCAATACACATAATTCCCACCAAAATAAACATACACTAAAAACTAAAAAAAATATGGAATATGCAGTGTATGTATGTATGGTTTAATGTACATCCCTACAGACATGTGATGATACTAGATTTCTTAGGAAGATAGATACAGTAACCTAGACCTAAATATATGTACACCATTCTATCGCAATGAACTTTTACTCTCTAATTCTCTTATTATAGTCTTGACTACTCGATGGTAGTTGTAGCAATTCGTGAAAAAAATATAAAAGTAAACAAAATAAGGTCGAGCATAATGATATTCTGACTAACTATTCTTCTTGAGCAACAAAGGCATTAAAGTACAAAAACAATAACTGTTAACTTTTATTGTTATCTTCGACAACCACAATAGTTTGACCAGTTTCATTGTGCTTTAAGCCGGGGGAGAAAAGAAATATTTTTGACTCTGAGGTTGAATATATTTTACTGCTGACGTATGCCTGGTGTTGCAAGATGAGGAGAAAAAAAAAGAAAAAAAGAAACACATAAGCACAACAAATAAAACAATTTAGAGTTTTACATCTTGTTTGATAAAGGAACAGTAATTCACATTCATTTTTACTTCTATAACAAATATAGACCGTGAGAAAATGAGTTGAGGGGGATAATTAGATTTATATCAGCTGGTAGAAAAGAGATAATGACACTGTTAGTCTGGCTAACTGCTTCTGATGGTTATAACAAAAGGGACATGAGACATCCAGTAGCGAGCCCTTCTCTTTCCCATATTGTGTCATTCAGATTGGCTCTACTCAAGCATCAGTATATTAAGCTAACTCACCATGTCAGATTCAGATATTAGCACATCGGTACTAGCCCAGGCTGAGAGCTGGATTATTTATGCAACAAAATCGCAAAACCTTACCATACGGTATCGTATAGTCAGGAAAGCTAACTCACAAAATGTAGGTTATCATGCCGCTGTGGGGGAAAAAATGCAATTTAGATAAATTATCCTCAAAAATATGTCATATGATTCACGAGGTGCGCTCAACTGCGATGGCATTTACTGAGAAGAAGCCCAAGGTCTTGTTCGGGACGCTCACTTTCCTAGTTTAAGTAAAATTTTGTCCATGCCACCTTCCCATTCATTTTTGATTAATTTATCTAAATTGCATTTTTTCCCCCACCCCCATTGTTTTTTATTACATTAGTGTGTTTGTTGCTTATGCCCCTGGTATGCCATGCAATAGTCTGAGATGGAGTATAATAACAGTAGGGCAGCATGTAGTCTTGATCCACACAAACATTGCAATGTCATTATCTCTTTTTCTACTTTAACTTCCCCCTCCACTCATTTTCCAAGGTCTATATTTGTTATTAGATATTCTGTATCAAGATGATGATAGGAGTTTTCCTTACACAGACTCGGTATCATCTCTAGGTAGCATATGGCTTGGTGCAATAACAATAAAAAGTTAAATGTTATTGTTTTGTACTTTAATGCTTTGTTGCTGAAGAAATAAGTTAGTCAGATTACATCCTAAGTGTTACTATCTTCCGTTTGTCCAAAGAGGAACAGAAGGAATTAGTAAGATTTCTGAAATGGTTATTTTGTCTGTTACAACTATTTTCTAAGATCAGTACACATGTCTGTGGGGATGCTCAGCTATTATGTACAATTTATTGTGTGTTTTTTTGCACATCCTCAGGAGTCATAGTAATAATTTTTGGAATTTTCCATATTTTTAGTGGAATGCACGTGGCAAGAGAGAACGTCTGTGCGAATTGCTCTTTGAAAAATATCAGGTAAGGGGTTAATGTACCTTCAAGTTATACTGTTGATACTATCATGGGTGAAGATGGAAATTTTGCTTAGGAGTTTGGAAGGCCATGATAGAGCATGATAATAAGTAGGCCAACATTCATGAAAGAAAAAAAAAATCTTGCCTCTTTTATTCAAAGATTATACATTTTTAAGATCTTCCCAGATTTCATCTTCAGGTCAAAAATCATTCTTGATGTAAATTCATGTAGTCAAGAATTAATTGCATTTGTATTTCAGGCAATTGTAACTGTATGACTATGATATGTAATGCTTTCACCAATTCATTAATAGTAATATTGCCATAGCTATTTATACCATAATTTATGAAATTGCTATTATTGCTCTTTATTTAATGATAAGGATTCTACTACAATTACTACTGGTAGTGATTGTAAATGGTATTGCTATTATTATATTCTCTCATTCCTTATTTGTATTATTTCTTGTCCATTCATTTTGAGAACACCCCATAGAATGCCACATGACAACATATTTCAATAGTGTATTAATTATCTTTTATCAACCAGGTCCCAGCTTTCTTCCTGGTTAAATCTGCAGTGTTGGCAGCATTTGCCAATGGAAGATCTACCGGGCTTGTGCTTGACTCTGGGGCCACACATACATCTGCAGTGCCAGTTCACGATGGATATGTTCTGCAGCATGCCATTGTGAAGTCGCCTTTAGGGGGAGATTTTCTCCTCAATCAGGTATATACTTTTTAAATGCTGATGTTCTGTCTATATTTTTCTTATACTCTCTGCTCCGCTGTTGTTGCTACTTCTCTTATTCTTTTCTTATCATATCTTGTCAGTGGTGTGGATTTGGTCATCTCAAAATTCTAACACTTCAGAGACCCCTTGACACATGTTGCTCCATTAAATTATTTTCAAACTACATAGACCAGAAATAAACTTGCCCCCCCTCCCCTCCAATGATGCCTCTGACTAAAACAAAGTTATTAAAGAATAGGCCCAAATTTCCCTGGTCTGCACTATATATTATTTTCAGCATTCTCTCTCATCTCTCATTCTACCCCAACACAGGCAAACAGTTACCTGGTGGAGTCTGGCGTAGACCTCATCCCACCATACATGATTACAGACAAGCAGGTGGTAAAGGAAGGTGACCGACCCAAGTGGACAAAGAAAAACAATTTGTCTGAGGTTACCACGTCCTGGCACAACTACATGAAGAGAGAGGTAGTCAGAGATTTTCAGCAGACGATGCTCCACTGCTCAGAGTCACCCTATGAGGAAGAAGCCATCAACAGCATCCCCACAGAGCCCTACGAGTTTCCTACCGGTTATAATATGGTTAGCAGTTTGTTTACTTTTTTTATTTATTTGTTTATTTATTTTCATTTATTTTAGGATTGATTTCTTTTTATGCTTTTTTTTATATTTAACAGGAAACAGCAAAATCAGAAATTTGCTAATTAGTTTTTTTAGAATAAGATCTGTAAATGTAGATATCAAGTCCTACATAGTCTCTTGCACTCTTGTATCAAGATATACTTAGTTTTTGGCCCACACATAGAAAACCACTGCCTGTGAAAGATGGCTAAATATTCCTTCTTTTTTTTTTCTTTTTTTTCTTATTTTTCTTACTGTTGAGTCTGCAGGCAAGGGACTATATGTTAAGCAGTGATTCAAATTACTGGGCTAGCCTTGTGAGATCTCACATACAGCTGTTCTAATGTAGCAGCATATTTTGGCTAGCTCAATGGTTTAGGCACTGCAAGTGCAAGTTCATCAATTACATGATGTTTAAATTATTATATCCAGCTGAGCTTTCCAGATAACTTTCTGGGTAGATGTAGCCAGAATGGCAGAATGGGACCAGTTTTGGTGTGTGTGGAGCAAATGATAAACTGAGACACTGTCAGCATTCAGATTTGAGGTTGGATTATTTGTGTATGGCAGGCCATGTTTTTTAAGTTTTTGTCTTTCGGTTCTTAACCCATTTATGACGGGTGTCCCACATATGAGACACCCAGAAAAAAAAAATGCCGGGCATCCCGCCGGTGTGACGCTGTATCGGGGCTTGCATTCAGACTCGGCAGTGGGCCACGGACGGAGCGCAGGCAGAGTCCGGGCCAGTCCTACGCGGCGATTTTGTAGCCGCCCGGGAAACTTTTTATTTTCGGCTTCAAAATATACCAGGGCCATCGTGACAAAAATTTTCAAAAATACTCGAAAAAAATTGGGGGGGGGGAATCTCCTGTAATCTAATAGACTTTGGCAATCCTGTGACGTAATATTTTTGCTAAATACATAAAAATAAAGGAGTTATAACCGGAGGTGCGGGCAGAGTCTGGGCCAGCCCCTCACACCAATTTTGTAGCCACCCGGGAAACTTTTATTTTCGGCTTCAAAATATACTGGCGTTAGTGGGTTAAGGGGGCTGTCGCAACAACAACAAAAAAAAAAAAAAAAAAAAAAAAAAAAAAAAAATGTAATCTAGTAGGCTTTGGTAATCCCGTAACGTAATATTTTTGCTAAATACGTAAAAATAAAGGATATAACTAATTCTCGTGTGTGCGTGTATGTGTATGATTGTGTGTGCGTGTATGTATGCAGCCTATGTATACACACACGTGTACATATATACACATAATTTTCTCTGTACATCCTGTCTGTCCAAACCTCTCTTTTCATTTGTATTGAAGCATGTAATCTACCTACCCCATAACGCTCTCATCAACATATATCTATCGGAATAACTAGTTGGAAGTCTACAATCTACCACTCTCTGCCTACTCGCCCTACAAGCCCTACGTACCCCACAAAAACGGTCCTCCCTCGACATCTACCTCTTCCATATTGTAAAATACCACAGTCAGAGTCTCCTACCATATACATCCACACCAAACACCCAAACCTGCGGCTACTACTACCCTCCCCCTACCCTCCCCCTCCCTCATCAACCTACCCACCCATTATTTTTACCATATATACATATCAATGAATTAATGCCATGGGTTTTCTTATAAAAATATATATTATTAATATGCTCATTTAGGTTAAAACACATGTATCCTAAACATAACTGAAGATGCAAAACAAGATTAGAAGGTACTGTGGCAAGTTGTGAGTTACTTCTTGAAAACCTTCAATGCTGAGAGGCGAAAAATGATAACTCGCTCTTTTCTTTTTCTTTCTTCTTCTTCTTCTTCTTCTTTTTTTTTACTGAGGTTAATCATCACATAATTACAAAGTTTCTTTTTAATTTGGAGATAATTGTGAGGAGGGGTCACGGGCTACACAATTGTTCCAACAAATTGTGGGATTAAAGTGTGATGTAGCCCCCCACCACCTTTGTGCCCGACTTTTAAGAATACCACTTCAATTTGGTGTGGGATGTAGGGATCCAACATTTCGTGTAAGAATACGGCTGATGGTTTCAACAAATAGCACTTCTTTAGAGTAGGATGTAAGTTAAATTGATATGGCTTGCACATATGCTGTTTCTAAGATCTAGTCATAGTACCTTTGATAAAAGTACTTAACAAAAGACATAGACAAGAATCAAGAGGAATTATTATTGTAATGAAAGAGTACTTTCCACAAAACATGATTTTGCAAAAAGACAGTTTCATGGAAAGTAATACAAAAAGGTTTGTAACTGCTTTAAGCAGTGATTTTATTTAGAACCATATTTAGGGGTATTTCAAGATATGAAGCAGGACAAAAATTAACCTTTCTGATATGTATATTTGTTTTAGACTGTCAGTATTCCATCTTACCCCCTACAATCTGGATGATGTTATGGTCCCGTCATGGAATAATCTGGGTCTAAAGCCGGGTGACGGGAGCATGCTGTCATCGGAATAAAGGCCAGGGTAACAGAAGAGACTCACTAGAAGTGCACAAACCTTTTTAGAATGTGATTTGACTCATTTGGCACTTAGAAAGGAGCTTTGGCATTATTCTTATCAATAAATGAATGTCAAATGTAACATGTGTAAGCTGTGACTGGAAGAGTGCCCACTCCAGGGAGGACACCATTTCCATGCTATGCACCGTATTCATGGCTGCTGTAATTGAAAATTACGAAAAATTAAGATGACACAAATAACCTTTTTTCTTTCTTTCTTTTTTTCTTTTTTTCTTTTGCACTGAGAGAGATGATATGGAGACTGTGCAAAGAAAATAAGCTATTACCATCAGGATAAAGCAAATCAAAAGACAAATATGACCTTGGGAAATGGCAAAAAAACTAAAAAGCTATTTAAAATGAAAAAAGAAAAAAGAAAAAGAAAAGTTTACACAAAATAACATACGCTTGGCCTATGCGCCACATGCCCATGATGTTGGCTACTTGCTTAACCAACTGCCCACATTTCCGGCACTGTGATTTCCATGCCACAACTAGATCCAACAGTGATTGATAATAGTGATCATGACTCTATGACTGGCTCAGGGAGAAGAGAACCTACAAGGGGAATGGGAGCATAGGGATGATAAGGTAGCCTAGGTATAGCTGGAGGAAACTTGACAATCAGGACCAGTTATGTTAGTGGATAGCACATACACCCGATGGAAAAGATGATAATGAAAAGGATGTGGGAATAAGTGTGTCATATTTTAACAACCATGTGGATAGTCATGGTGAATAGGACTTACCACATAAAATTGTGGGCCACATTCATGGTGAATAGGACTTTAGGGACTAAAGATTATATTAACCCCTTGAATCTGGTTGCTTCACAGCAATTACATGGACCAAAGTACAACCATTAGGCATGTCTAAGCAGTCTCTCTGCTAGGTATGTTGCGTGTAAGCTGAGCACACACAAACACTCATGTCCAGTGACAAAACTCTGTGCCTCCCCTTTACAGTGCCATTTTGCATAAATGTTTTTAGCTTTTTTTGCTATTTTCCAATGTGCAAATTTGTTTTTTGATTTGCTTTATCCAGATGGTAATATATTGTTTTCCTTGCACAGACTCCATATCATCTCTCTTTGTAGAAATAACTCAGTGCAAGAAAAAAAGAATACATTTTTTATTTTCTTATTTGTTTTTGTAATATTTGATTTTCTTTAATACACCCTGAGTGAGCCATTGGTGATGGGGGGCAGCAATAAGAATCCTGAGCATGGAAATAGTGCCCTCCCTAGAGGCGGCGCTCTTTCAGTTATGGCTCACGGATATTACACTCTACACTTGTTCATCGATAGGAATAATGCAAAAGTCCCATTTTAAAGGCTAAATAAGTCTAATCACCCTCCAAGAGGCTTATACACTCACGACGAGTCTTTTTCCTCACCCTTACCCTCTCTCATGACAGCAAGTTTGTCACCCAATCCATAGCCATTTTTTCCCCATGACAACATGTTCATGTCACCAGCCCCTCAAGCTGAATTTTCATGACATTGGTTAATACAGTGATACATACTGAGGCATAACAAGAGACCAATGTACTCAGTCTACGCCTTGTCCTTACACTCTTCCTTTTTTCCAGGAATATGGCACAGAGCGTTACCGGATCACAGAGAGCCTGTTTGACCCCAGCTACATCAAGGGTGTGGGCTCAACTATGCTGGGAATGTCACATGTCGTGTCCACCAGCATAGGTCTATGTGACATTGACCTCCGGCCCAGCCTTTACTCTGGGGTCATCGTAACAGGCGGGAACTCTCTTCTTAATGGCTTTGTGGAGCGCCTAAACCGTGACTTGTCGAGTCGAACACCACCAAACATGAGGTTTAAGCTGATCTCGGCAACAGGCTCAACAGAGAGGAGGTTTGGCTCATGGATTGGAGGTTCCATCCTGGCCTCCCTAGGCTCCTTCCAGCAGATGTGGGTGAGCAAGCAGGAATATGAGGAGTCTGGCAAATCACAGGTGGACCGAAAATGTCCGTAAAAAAGTGCAGCAAAAACAAAGACAACTATTTTTTTTTATTAGACTGACTCTTTCTATTAAGTGGAAGTGAATGAATGTGTATGTGACTTTTACAGAAACTACTTTAAAACGCCTGGATTTTTTTTTTTTTTTTTTTTTTTTTTTTTTTTCATTATTATTATTATTATTATTATTATTATTATTAATGGGTTTTTGGATTCTGAACATTACAACTACTACTCACCCTTAATGCTACTAGTAATTATCTAAAGTCGAAATTAGTTAGGAAAATTTGCCTAATTTAACTTTTTACACAACTTCTTCATCAATTACCCATACTATTATTAGTGAAAAAGCCTTATTCCCATCTCCAATACTACCTCCCTCAACAATACTTCTTCCTCCACACATTCCCATCCTTCTACCACCCCCAGCTCTACAAATATCTTAACTACTCTATTTAACCTACCTTCCCCAGTCAAATTTTTTGCCACTCTGATTCCAGACACTTCCATCTCAACTACTACCCTCCTCAGACACCAGTCTCCTCTCCCCCCCCCCCCATAAGAAAGCCTTTGTCTCACGAAACTCTCCAACCAACTCCACTGCAGAAACTTGAAGATATTCAAAACTATCTGCTCAAGTCCCAAAATGACACTGAAACCCCTCACCCACCCTCAAATTCCACAACTCCCGCTCCCTCCACACTTAAAGTGACTGCATATATCCATCCTCCTAATCATATTCCCCCTACACCTCTTCCTCGTACTCCCTCCTAACACAACCCATCCCCCTCAGCTCCAACTACTGCCAATATCCATCCTCCTACTCATATTCCTCCTACTCTCTCCCAACACAGCCCCCCCCCTCAGATATCCATCCTCATCCTACTCATATTCCCACCCCTTCCCCTACTCCCTTCCAACAAAGCCCATCCCCCTCAGCTCCAACTACACATTAACACTCCCTCCATCCCCTCTACTCCTTCCACTCCCTCCTGGATACACACATGAATTTCTTGTCATAACTACGCCCTTCCCCAGATCCTCCACCTAAAACCCACCACCACACCCTCCAATTCTCTTATCTCGCCCCCTAGCCCCTTCCCTAAATTCTCCAAAACACACTGTAACCGTTCACTCATAGATCAACTAAGTAATAGCTCTCCTACATTGGAATATTCGTTGTCTCTATTCTCACAGACCTGACCTTTGTCATATCCTTCCTATAACCCATCCATTATCTGCTTCCAAGAGACTTTCCTTGCACATCCTTCTATCCCAACTCCCTAATGTAATGTCCCTCTTTCACTTCCACGCATTCTGTCGTCCTGTCCACGCTTTGCTACAGCCCGCACCTCTGCTTTCCCACACCTATCCTCCCTTCACCAAGCTCCCAACCTTTCAGACATCTTTACAGAATCCCTCACTTTCTGCTCTGACAACTTGTTTTCCTTCCTCAGATGCATACATATCCTTCACTTGATCTAATCCCCTTACCTAAACCCACCATAACCCATTCACTCATCAACTCATTAACTCATCTTTAACCTTTCAATACTACTCTAGATAGCTGACACGTAACAACTATCACCTTTTACCACCCTTTACTGTACCTTCCTATAGTGCTATATGACCTTAGATGTCTAGCATATTTATTTTGCTTTTTAACCATTAACCGAATGGGTTAACCATTTTCTTTATATTCCTTTCTTGTGTATGAAAAGGTTTTAAATAAATCAGTCAGGGGAAAAAGGTATGAAAATTATTTAGATGAAAAATAGTGCAGATAACAATATTAGATTCTCTTTTTTAGACAGACAAATGTAGCAAAATATGTGGCCGAGAAGAAATGTAAATTATAATGTCTGTCTTCCAAATCCACTTCATAATTTCAATATCCAATAGCTAGTGTAGGGAAAAGAAAAAAAATTCATTTTAGGCAACATTTGAAAATATGTTTATTTATATACATGACAACAACAGTAAACTATCAAATCAACTTTTTAATAAGATATGTACATAAGGCCCTGAGACCAAGGCAAGCAAAGGAATGACTCAAGGAAGAATATAAATACATATTTTTTTTGTTTGATAATGGTCTTGGATTGTATTATGAGTAAGGTATTGTCTCTAGGATTGATGATTTTGAGGGTGAATCAATTGGGAAGCAATTCACGTTTAAAAAAAAGGGAAGAAATTAAAGTGTTACATAAGCTAACAATAGTTATTAATTTTCGTCCTTGTGTCTGAACCTCATAAGGAACTGAACTGTAAATATCTGTTTTGGGCACAAAATAAAATGCATTCACAGCCCAAGTATATATGAAATGGCCTCTTCATTGCATTAGAGGACCTATTATAGGCTAAATTATATAATATGGGTGTTACACTTCTGTGTCCTGTATGACAGCAGTTTAACATTAAGAATAACTAAGTTGATGTGTAAAACGACTACGTTTTCTGTGAACAGAATATTACTGAACTGTAACTGGCATATATCGAGTTTTAAAGGTTACTGAAAATAAGCAACTCAAATTAAGCTTCATATCTAAAAGAACATGGTAAGCCAAACACATTAATTTCATATAACTATACAGTTTATAGCATACTTAAACATAATATATACACATTTAAATACAAAGTCTTTGGTAAAGAAAATGACTTATTTATATGTCACAATGAAAATCACATAAATGCAGTCTTGTAATCATATATCCTTTCTGGCTGTCTGTTCCAGTAAATACAAATAGTGTGAATAATTCAAGCTCTGATTTTTTATCTGAAATCAAATTTAATTAAGACAACTCGTCACCTTTGACCGTTCTATCATAATGAAAATTGCACAAAAACAATAACTCAACTTCCAGCTGTCAGTCTCATGTGGAGATTGTTACAAAATTTATTGTGATTTATATTTTTTTGTGTGAAATATGACCTTGCCCAAGACTCCCCACAATACTGGATAAGAAGCAAATTAGAACTGAAAGCTAACTGGGTTTGGTGACCTACGGCCTTGACTGTAGTTGCTAGATTTTTCTGAAATATAGTTATCAAATAATATTGTAAAACTAACATATAAAATAAAAAAAATTTAACATCACAAAATATACTATCTTCTAATATTGCTTCCAGACCTCTTATTCATGTCCTGTGGTAGTGGCGATTGCATAAAAAAGGGGGAAACCTTTCAATATTGAAATCGCATCTGCTTTCTATTATAATATATGAAATGTGCTGAATGCAGTCCATGGGTCGCAAGTTTCATGATAAGTATAAAAAATAATAAAAACTATCATGGGATCGAAGCCATTTCAAAAGTCTGTAAAGCAGGTACCATATGCAGCCATCATATTTCTACATACATACACATATACATATTTATAGCTTAAATGTACGAACGCAAACAGTGACTAGCGATTTGCTTCACTCCCACTCGCAGGCGACTCTAACATTATGACATAATTTTCAACTAGAGAGGCATTGTCTATTCCGGACGGCACGGCCTCCTTTCTACCGTTGACCAAGTTCGGCTTTCTCTCCGAGGAGCAGAAGTTTTCGAATGTCCAAGACGTCGTTGGATTTCTTTGGTTCTGCTTGGTACCGCCCGTCCTGAAGGAGCTCCTCAGACTGCTGAGTCCTTCCTCGAGGCATTCTTCGTTCCTAGGGCCTCCTCGACGACACCTGCCCAAGAGCCAGATGACCATACTGCACAGGGTGAGTACGAGCAGCATGCCGATGCCCACGCCGGCGCACCAGATCAGGATTTCCGATACGCGGTCGGTGGCGGCGTCGGTCTGAATCTCCTTGGCCGAGACTTCGGGTAAAAGATCCTCCTCCTGTTGGGCGAAGTCGGTGCTCGTGCGCGTATTGATGACTTCGTAAGTCCTCTCTTGCAGGATCTGGCTTATGTACTCGTCTTTTTCCTCTGAGGACACGTTTTGATGATTGTTAAGTAGTTCTACATGTCGATGTATGAGGTTCGTGTCTTGAACATACTGAGCACCTGTGGGATCTGCATTCATCTCTGTAGTCCAGTCTGTGCTTTCTGTAGAGCTTCGCGTTCGAACTCCAGCAGAGGCGGTGAGTCGATCTGTTTCTTCCGTTGAAGGTTCCCAAACTCGAACTTCAGCGGGGGCGGTGTGGGTCAACATG